CTGACTTTGCATCTTTTCATTCAGAACATCATTAAATATGTAAATATCATAGTATTGATGTTGTCCATATCATTGCATAATTAAAAAAAAACTGTGAATCGGAACTTCTTGATTAAGGCTAGGCTCAGGATTAGGATTAGAACTTCTACAAACTGTCGTGCTTTTGATTTGATGTTAAGGACTGAATAAATTGTTGATGTGTTGATTAATATGAGGGAAAAGTTGAAATGTGGCACAGAACCTCTGATTTTCACTCCTTGTTTTCAGCACAACATAGAACTTCTGAGTTCTCCTTACTGTTAAACATACTGAACTTATGATGTTTCCACTCGTTGTTTTAACACTTAGAATTTCTGACTTTCACACGCTGATAACACACTGAACTTCTAATGTTCACTCACTATTTTAACACACTGAACTTCTAATGTTCACTCACTGTTTTAACGCACAGAACTTATGACTTTTGGCTCACAGTCTGAATACCACGCAAAACCTCTGTGTTTTCCCTCTAACATTTCTTGCAGGACCTCAGAGTGTACCAACCCAGAACTTATGATGCCCACTGATGTTTCTTTATGAGTCACAGCACTCCTGGCATCAAAACTTCTGATCCCTTTTGTTTTGCTTGCAACAGCACGCTGATTCTATATCTCATTTATTTTCCTTTTTATCACTTTCAATATTAATACTCTTTTTATCAATATAAAAAGGCATAAAAATATTTTCTTTTTACTAGCTAATTCATTTCTTTTTTTAATTCATTAAGACAAAAAACCATTTTTCTAAACAAAGTCTTTTTTCTTTCTTGCATTATTATTTCAATATGGTTGTAATAAATAATTAGGATTTATTTTCTTGCAACCCACCATTTGTAAATTTGTACACCCCACCCCCCTAATGATTGTAATAGCGTAGAATCTTTACTTTTCGAACTTTTATTGCTTTCATATATTGTTAGTAATTAGGGTGTGTATGGCAAGATGTAAAATCGACAAACAGATCACCCTAATCAAGACTAAATGCATGCAATCAAACACACTTTAACACTAGAACCCTTAGGGTAATCCCACTTTATTGCCTATCGTAAATTAGTCATGTCCCTCAAACATGGGCGTTTTAGCAAAAGACACTCAATAAAAGATCGTAGTCCCTCGATGACCCTCGATGTTGCCTCCGGTAAACGATCTAGTCCCTAAAATGAATTTGCTAAAATGTTCCATGGGTTGCCTTCTATGACTATACAAACGTCCCATGCCCATCCCTTCACATCCAACGATGGGGCTTCTTACCAAATCAATGGTAAGATAGAAACATCTAAAGGAGGAGGAAAAGAACATCTAAGACCTTTTTGAGTAGGTAGATTCGCTCTTAGTTGCTCACTTGCTCACAATAAAAGCATTTTATACACCTACACGTCATTTTGAAACATTTTCGAAAGACAACACTTTATACGCGTTCTTATAGAGACGAGAACCATTACAAAGACACCTTTTCAAAATCACTTTCAAAAACACATTTCACAAACACATCTTTGAACTATTTTCCAAACAAACACTTTGTACGCATTATTATAGAGACGAGAACCATTACAAAGACGTTTTCAAAATACTTTCAAAATCCACACCATAAGCACATTCAAACAAAAGTAAGTGATCTAGCAAGTAACTAAGAGCCCATGGAAAACCATGGATGAAAGGGGTGCTAATACCTTCCCTTTTCATAATCTACCCAATGAACCCGAGAAAACATCTCTAAAGGTCTTTCCTGTGCTTTTCACCTTTCCTTTTGGATAAAAGAAAAGTCAGTGGCGACTCTTGCTAACCGCAACATTTGCAAATACAAACGCAAACAACCAAGTCAGTTCTCCCACCGTATTACAGAACTAGCGACTCTGCTGGGGACTTTTTAAAGTGGGGTTACCTTAGGGCTAGATCACATCTACTTGCTTTCATTTTTTGACTTGTATGCTTTACGTTTTGGGTCCTTGTTTGGGTTACTGTTAAAAATCCTACACCCGGATTTAGGGACACCTTTTAGGTAAGTAGCAATAAACTGTGAGGGAACGATGTGGGGTATACCGACACGGTTGAAGCAGTAGCTATGTTAATATGGCACTTTGGTTGGTACCGATAATCCTTGAGTCAATCAAGGAGAGTATGGGGCCACCGCGTGGTGTCATAAAGCATCAACTGACCTTAGAACCTTTAAATTGCACAACTTGGCCAGTAGGACGTAGCGAGATGGACGACTTTGGTGTATTCCCAAGGTCGACAGATACTCGATGCTACACTCATTGAGATTTGACTCTTGAGTTTTGTTTGGTTGCGAGTCAATCGCCTGTTGAACGAAGCTTGGGGGAAAGATCAGTGATATTGAGATCCCTTAGAACCTGGTTACTATTTATAGGACAGGTTGGACCAATCCAACTTCAAGAGGGTAGACCTTAAAACTCATGCAGGCCTTAAACCTAAGGACTTAGTGTGACTTGTTTGTTGCCTGTTATACATGTGATTTTTTTAATGATCATGACATCATAAGCATGGCATGTCATACTAACCATTTCAAGGACCCTCTAAGGCTCATTGTTGATTTGTTTTGTAGGACATGGCATCCGCCCGCAGAAACACTATCTAGATTAACCTTGTGAAAGTGCCTCTCCAACTAAAGGATTTGGCATTAAGGATCCATGAAAGCTCTCCCTTCACTGAAAAGCATGGTCTGTTGCTCAACTTGGTCACTTCAAAACCTGAGGAAGAATTGTTAAAAGTGCTATTTCAGTTCTTTGACCCTTTGCACCACTGCTTCACCATCCCGGATACCAGCTAGTGCCTACTATGGAGGAATTTTCTCGGTTGTTAGGGGTACCTATTCTTGATTAGTCACCTTTCAACGGTACAGAAGAATGACCAAATCCCAAAGAGATTGCTCGAGCTCTGTCTTTACAATGGTCTGATGTCGTAACAAATTGGGAAACTAGAGGAAATGTCCAAGGAATCCTGGTTAAATTTCTATTCGAGAAGGCTTGCTATTTTTGGGATACCCTGGATTTACAAGCTTTTGAAGAGGTATTGGAACTCCTCATCTACGGGATGGTACTTTTCCCTAACGCGGACCAACTCATAGATGTGAATACGATTAAGGTTTTTCTGTCTCATAATCCGATGCCTACTGAAACAACCGGCTGAAAATCATCAAACAATGAAGTCGCCATCGAACGTCTTTTATCCCACGTGTAGGGAAAGGTAAACATCAAGAAAAACTGATAAGGGAGAAGTCACAGTCTTGCGACCAAGATATCGGGTAAGGGAGTCTGTTACGCGAGGGGAAGGTATTAGCACCCCACACGCCTGTAGTACTCTACGGTATCCACTCTTGTTATCTATCTTATGGGTGTGTTTAATCTATGCTTACTGTCTACTATACTACTGAAGGGAATGTATGCAAAATAAAGGAAAAAATGTAGGGAAAATAAAATTATGCTCTCCTGGGCCCTACCCCAATGCCTACATATCCTTTTTGAGGAATCAGAGCTACCGTAGTTTGGCTCATATGTTTTTGTTTGTTTTTTGTTTTTTATGGACAATGTTAATTCCGCCTTCTGCCGCAGCTCGACCTTTGGAGACTTATGCATTGGCACAGAAGTAAATTAATCATGTCCTTACCTGAAAAGGGTTTTAGACAAATGGTGTCTGAGCGCACAAAATGGTTTGAATTGGTTTTGTATTTTATTACCTTGAAAAAGGGTTTAAGTATGATTAGTATGTTTTTGATTTGCTAAGAAAAGAAGTTTTAGTTTTAGATGCAAGGATGCAAGAAGGGGAAGAAAAGAGTCTAAGGGAGACTAGCCTATTTCTAAACCTAATGTTATCATGCAATGGTAACCCTACGTCAAGGATGAAAGGGGAATTTTCTACCTAATGTCAGCATGCATGGCTTGCAACTTAAGGTCTATCTTGCGTCCGAACGGAGCAAGCGCATCCTAAGGGAACATGGTATGTACAAGGATAAAGCAAGCAAGCCAGCAAAAAAAAGAACACCTAAAGATATCCTGCCTAGGTTAGCATGTCAAAGAAAAGTCTAAAAAACTATCCTATAGGGAGCATGCAATGAGAGCGAAGTCGTGATCTAAATTTCTAAATTGAGTGACTCATCGATCAACAAGAAAAGAAAACGATAAAATCCTATAGGGAGCATGCACTAAGAGCGAAGTCGTGATCTCAATTGCTAAATTGAGTGACTCATTGATCGATAAGAAAGTAAACAAACACAAGCACAACACATATAGCAAATGAAGTGTGGAATGCCTGCTACAGGTCTTTAAACAGCGACTTCGAGCGCACGCTCTTTATTTCCTACTTCACATGATATCTAGAAAGCGGTAAAGTGCGGAAATGAGGAATAATATGAGATTGCGATGATACCGAACGGAGAAGGTCCGTTGCCTCTTCATAACCCCACTAACAATAAGAAAGCTCTACAAAAGCTGCAGATGAATAAAAATTTGTAGCCAAGCACTTTTCTCATTGCGAAAGTTACATCAATACTATCACGAACTCTTAGCAAAACATGACAACAAAATGATTACCAAACATAAAATCAAAAGTAGAAAACTCTAATTGAAATCCTAAAGAGAAACACTAAAATATTCTAAAATATTCTAATATTTTTGTATCACTTTTATTATCAATTAAAAGAAAAGATTAAACTAGAAGAAAAAGCTAAATAAAAGAGAAGTTAGAAAAGTTCAAAGGGTGTTATAGATACAGGGGTGTGAGCAATAGTCAATTCTGGAGCAAGGCCCAACCATTTTCAGTCCACAAGCAGTTTTTGTTTTACCAACATCAAAATAACAAAAAAAACTGCATATTGGGCTCAATTTGATGGGAATTTCAGTCCAGGTCCATAGCAATTATAGTTATTTTATTATTATTCCTTGAATATAATAAAAAAACAAATTAAATAAATAAATGCACAAATTGAAAGAGGACTAGGGTTAAGATATGGCTTTTCAGCTTTTGTGCGAAAATCACTCTTCCCTTTCACTTGCAGCCTGCGATGGCCGATTTACCACTCGACTTTCTACTCTGATCAACAAACACAGTTCCGCCACGAACACCATCACCTCATGTCCGTCTTACTTCTTCTTTCGGTTCACTTCTCTCAACCTCGATTACCTCCAGTATCTTCTCCTTCGATTGCGTTCGGTTTCGTCAAGGCGAGGCTTCATACCGCTCAGTTCTCAACATCGACCTCTAATTCAGTTTCAACGCGATGAAGATGATGAATCAAAAGGTACTTGCACTCTTCCTTCTGTTCACGTCTTCTCTATGTGCGTTTTAGAGCTTAGACTGGTTATTGTTGTTGTTAGGCGTTATGCAGATGAAGATGATGAATGATGAAGGTGATGGATTCCAAGAGAGGAAGATTCAATTATGGTAGATAAATATGATGAAGTTCTTGATTCATCAACAAAGATGATGATGAAGGTGGTTGAGTTTTCTTCTGTAGTGTTGTTGATGTTGTCATTGTAAATCAGAGAATTTACAGAAGAACGGATGCAATTTGAAGATGATGACGAGCGGCTTGCAGGAGTGAATGGAAAAGATGTGCGCTGCGAGAGAAATGAAGAGCTCTGAGTTTCATGTCATTCTTCAGAGAGTCTTTGCGATTATTTTTTGATGGTGAGTTCTTGGATCTTTTTTTTCTGTGATTTTCTCGGTGAAAGTATTGACTCAAATCCTTCCCTCCATTCTGCTTCTCTCTTCCTCTTTTTCTATTATTCTGTTATGCCTCTTTGTTGAATTTTGTTATGATGTTGCAGATGAAAGATGGAGAAGATGATGATGATTTGTTGAAGAAGAAATAAAAATGCAGAAGTGTTGCTTTTGGTGGTTTAAGGTGCAAAGAAGGTCAATGAGTTGGTGAAGATTCCCTCATTGAAGGTTGCCGATCGGTGAGGTTATAGAATTCTTTTTTGGTTAGCAGTTTGACAGTTGGTTTTTATTCTTCTAGGCTCCTGTTAGGAAATCTATTGGGAAGTTTGTTAGGAGTTTGTTAGGTGGTTGAGATACAGTTAGGGAGGTTAGTTATGCTGTTAGGAGTTAGTTTTTGTTTTCTCTTATGATAGTTGGTTAGAAAATTTCGTTATATTTCTGTTATAAGAACATATGCAGGGCTGCCACGATTTGAATACAGGTTTTTTTATGTGATGATTTCGACTTGGTGATGTAATTCACAATTGGTCTCTTTTTCCAATGACTTTTGACTTGCATTTTTCTGTTTGCACCTGGAGTTGGATGTGGACTGGTCATGATTTATAAAGGAAAACAGGGAAGATTGAGTATGGCATGAAGAAATACCAGGCAAAGCTACTTGTAGTTTAATCTAAGTGAAGGATAATTTGAAGATGGATACTTGGAAAGAATATGGAGGCATGAAGATGTTTAGGACAATTAGGATAGGTGTAGGTTTTTGATGTAAATGGCAGAATCGCGATGTTGTACCTTTGTAATGGTGATGATTAATCTTGTAATGATTTGGAATGTAGTGACCTAAACTTGAATGATGTACTTTTTTTCCACTTTGTAATTCTTTGATTTTAATGATAGTTTTTCCTTTTGATGTAATGTAACACTTCTCTTTCAAAATAATTTATACTTCCGATCTTCCTTGACTTTGTGTTTTATGTACCTCACACGTCATACAAAGATGCATATCATAAGATATAAGCGCTTCATCTATTTGAGTGAATCTCGGCTTCCTTAAATCAATTGATCCATAAACATTAATGCTCCATAAAAACTTTAAGTTTTAGTCTTGAGACACTTGAATGAAAAAAAGATATGACTTGCATCCTAAGTAAATCATCTAACAAAGTGAAGTGTTTTTGCATCATAAAGTACACAAATCCTACTTGTGAAGATAAGCCAATTAGAACCATATTCCTCTCTTACATATAGCCCATGACCACATGGCTCGTGATTCAAGTAATAGGTACCCCATTTTCTGATGAAGAAAGAACAATAGAAACTCTAGCTTATAATGCATTAATGCATACACCAAAATTTCTTTAATGACTTGCATCTTGAGCAATGATAGAATCCCTTGAATGATGACATCCAATGATGAACTCAAGACTTCACAAAGAACTTCTCTTGAATATAGATAAGAGAAATAAACCCTTATCAATTGATGATGGTGATAATAGGAAGATGATGTTTGTAAAGTCTCCATGCCCTCACGGTATCTTGAATGCTACATTATAGGATGCCTTGCATTATAAGCAACCATGAAGCCACTTTACATATTGAAGAAGACCAAAAAAGTTCGAGAATAAGAAACTCTGAGGATGATGTATAGCCAAGTCTTTGTATTCATCAAATAATCCTGAGGATAAGGGATAACCCTAATTCACGCTCCATGTATCTTCGATTGAGACAAACCTGCAAAAGAGATGAATCCATGATGAACTATGTGAAACCCTAATCCCATGAGCATTGATCCAAGTACCAAACCTTATTGTTAGTGAATCAGTGCAATGCTAGATGACCTAATGAAATATGTACATGAAGAATGAGAGATGCGTAAGCCATATCATCCTTATAAATAGGTAGGACAAATTTGGGGTATTACACCTACATTACTTGGGGATGTTCTGCACTCTCTGTATTCTCGCACTCTAAAGAGAAGGGGGACCCTCCTGTGTTGAACTCCTTTATTGGATAGGTGGTTTATTTTGCACCTACCCAGATCTATTTTGAAGAATGAGCAGGGTATGAAATAGTCTCATAGGCTGATGCCCCTTACACATTCAGACATTCATTGGTGTTCACGGTCCTCAGAAGATGTTACCATCATCGATTGTTGTGGTGAATTCCCTAATGTCCCTCTCTTAGGCATTAGGGGAGGAATCACTTATAAACCTTGTTTGGCACTGCGGCAGTTTGGTTATGCAAGGATGGATGGCCCTCATGATGCGCTTATCCAAGGAATCGCTTTCAACTATGAGAATGATACTCAGTGTTATCGCAAAAGGTTCATAAAAGCTTGGGGGCATGGTACATAAAATTGATAGCAAGACACTGGGGCACAAGAATTCCATCCCTTTGAGCCCTATCTCCGATAGGTACGAGCCCGCGCTCAAAGTCTTATGATGCCTTACCCTGCTGCCCTACCAATAATTATGGAACCAGTTGCTGAGGGAGATACGACTTCCCTTGTTCATCATCTTGACAAGCCAACCGATCACGAGGAGTTGCAGAAGTCCTGTGTTCAACTTAAAGAGGAGTGGGACATGTTTGAAGCTCATTTTTATGCCAGCGAGAGGAAGGTCCTAGAACTCACTAGGCTACTTCATGAAGAAAGGATCATAAACGCCTACATTGCACCAAAGAGGATGCGCTCCTGGGAAACCTAGTTTCTTTTTGCTTTGAGCTTTGTTTTGTTTAAACTGTAAGCCTAAAGGGCATTTTGTGTAAAGATTCAAACTCATCAATATAATTAACGTGTGTTTCTTTTTGGTTAAGCAAATTTGAGCTTTTAAGAATCCTTGAAATCATTACATATGCATACCATCCATGAAATTGCATAAGCAGGTACCGTTACAGGGTTCTCATCTCCTTCGTTGTTTATTTCAGTAAAAAATGTCTTCTGAACAAAGCATCAAAGATCTTCAGGCACAAAATGCCCAATTTCAACAGATGTTCATAACTCTGGCAAAAGGGCAGGAGGATCTGAAGGCCCTCATCCTGAAAGAGAAGAAGAAGAAGAAGAAGAAGAATCTCGTTGGTGCCCTCAATATGGGCAGAAGATTCGGGGGGCCACTAAAGAAATCAGTTGATCTTACCTCCTCGCCTAAAGAACGGGAGAATCAAGAGAGGCAGCCAAGGGAAGAGGACCCCATTCCTGAAGTTTCTGACAATGATACCGACTATAATGATGAGAAATATCCTCCCATTAAGGATAGATACAAGCAGTCAGAGGATCGACTGAGCGCTATGGAAGTTCAGAGAATACCTGGGTTGGACTTTGAAGAACTGGGATTGGTGTCGGGAGTGGTCATCCCGCAGAAATTTAAAGCTCTGTTTTTTGCAAAATATGATGGGGTGTCTTGTCCCAAGCTTCATCTCTGTTCCTATGTGAGGAAGATTCATCTTCACACTGCTGATAGGAACTTGTGGGTTCACTTCTTTCAAGACAGTCTGTCAGGGACTCAGCTTGAATGGTTCTACCAATTGGAGGGAACCAATGTCCGAAACTGGGAGGATTTGGCTGCCACTTTTTACAAGCAGTATCAATACAATACCGACCTGGCCCCTACTCGTACTCAACTCCAGAGTATGTCCATGGGTGCAGGTGAAGGCTTTAAGGACTATGCGCAGAAGTGGAGAGACTTGGCTGGGAGAGTTCAACCCCCTTTATCTGACAAGTAGTTGGTTGACATGTTTCTTGGGACGCTGTCTGGTCCATTCTTCAACCATTTGATTGGTAGCTCATCGACTGGTTTCACTGAGCTGATATTAACTAGAGAAAGGGTAGAAGCTAGGATCCGGAGCGGAAAAATACAGAAAGATACCTCGTCAAGTTCAGCAAAGAAGCCCTTCACGGATAAGAAGGAGGTCAGTGCCGTTTATAGCCCAAAAGTTCAAAGCCAAACTAACTACCGTTCAACAGTAGGTGCTGTGATGATACCGAGGCCTGGAGCTACCCCATAATGCAACAATCAACAAAGGGTGGAAAGACCACAAAGGAAGTTCACCCAGATTAACATGACATTGATAAAGGTTCTACCCCATCTGCTGAGATCTAACTTGGCAACTTTAAAAGAGGCTCCTAAGAATCCTAATACCTCCTCTCCTTGTTACAATCCGAACGCTCAACGCGCCTATCATTCTGAGAGTCCTGGTCATGATACAAATGACTGCTGGGCTCTATGAAATAAAGTACAAGATTTGATTGAAGCCAAGGAGATTGAGTTCGATGCTCCAGAGAAGCCCAATGTCATAACTGCTCCCATGCCTAAGCACAACCATGGAGTTAACACCGTTGATACCGATCTGTTCGTGACCTCAGTTGATGAAGTTTCTACTCCTCTTATGACTGTTAAGAAGAATTTGTTGTTGGCCGGTTTATTTCCAGGTTGTGATGAAGTTTGCCATATATGTTTATCCCTGCCTTCTGGTTGCTATTTTCTGAAAATAGGTGTCCAACTCCTGATGGACAGCAGATAAATTTTGTTCGAAAAGACTTTGATTCCAACTGTTCCGTGTGAAGATATTGCTATTATAACCATTTCTGCCAATCCTTCCAAGGCCTCCTCAAGAAGACCTGTTAGGATTACACCCGCTACAAGGATCACTCCGTTAATAATCACTTGTCCTGGTCCTGTCCCATACGCCTCAGACAAAGCTGTCCCTTGGCTTTATGGCACCGATGTTTACTATCATGGCGTTAAACAAAACTTAAAGATCGAAGAAGCTGATCCCGATGTCAGTAAAATTGTAGGGACCAACAAGATTACCTGAAGTGGAAGGGTGTTCTCTCCCAAGATTTCCCCAAAGATTGTCAATAAGCCTGTTGTTATTTCATATCCTGTTCCTGCTAGTACTTCAGTTACTATTCCCGTTCTTACTCCAGT